AAAAAATGAGAACTTTTAAATAGTTAATTTGATATTAATATTGATATATATATTTTTTTCAATTTTTTATGATATCTTCAAATTTATATTTTATTAAAAATGAAAATCATTATTATTTTTTTAAAAACACATAAAATCGTATTATAACATCGACAGAGACAAATAATAAAATAGAACATTAAAAAAATGATGATATGTTTCGCTACATTGCACGAATATTCTTTTAGTGTATATATATATACACTCCATAAAATTAACATTTAAACCATTGATATATGTCACATATCACTCATCACGAGACATTCATACTTGTATAATATAAAGTAAAAAAGAATTAAAAAAATAAATTAAAATCTATTTTAAAATTTCATTTTTAATTAAGACGGTCTCAAATTGTTCTTATCCTTGCACATTACCAGTGCAACAACATTAAGTTTATAGGAGCCCAAACGTTCAAATAAAATACTTTGTAGAACTTAAATTTATAAGATACAATCAAAAAATATTACATCTAAAAATGTTTCAATAGGTTTTTAGGATGTTTTTAAATGTTTTAACATGTTTTTTAAGATGCTTTTAACATATGATGTTGTACAGTTGTAGTAATTATTTTATACGACAATATTTAAAAAACTGTCGTATAAAAAAAAGTTTTTAGGACACTTTAAAAAAAAATAGATAATGTGACACTTTATTTTAAAAACGGACTAATTGGAACTTGTTAAAATGACCAGAAACATCCTGTACAGCTATTGCAACACTTTAAATGTGACATATTATAGTTTGATCCTATAAACTTAGGTGTTATAAAATATTTTATTAGGACGCTTAGAGCCTTTTAGTTAACAACTTAATGAACTTAATGACACTCATAGCTTATTGGATCAGCTATGCATGATTGTTTGGTAGTGACTAATTCATGATATTGAAAGTGGCTTATTTAGGGATTTCTTATTTAAAATAGCTTATATATATTTTATTTTTTTTGTAAAAGTGTTCATCAACTTATGTGGTATCAAATTGAAGTTTTATAAAAAAATTGTTTGGATTAGCTTATGACGGTACCGAAACGTAATAAATTGATAAGTTATTTTTTAATGTTTGACAAATTTTGCTTATACATGTAAAATGATCAAAAAGGACGTTCATAACAAAAAAACACAAGAAGGGGCTGAACAGAAACCTTTCGATCTGAGAATCACATCTTGTAGTTATCGATCAAATCCTCTAGCTATTTGTTACTGAAATTGCTATATCAAATCGATTAAAACCTCAATAAGCTCCTGATCTATCCAGTCTGAATTTCCGACTCAATCGAGCTAGCAACTCTAGATATCTCGTGTGAGTTGGCTCGACGAATCTGGAACGAGCTAAGCCCGACTCAATCGAGCCATCAACTCTGAATTTCTGACTCAATCGAGTAGAGCTTTAATGGAGGACAAATGGGAAAAAAAGCTTATGTTGCCATCGGTTTTCTTGGAATCAGGGTATTTCTGCAAATCGTGGGAAGCTTGTTGGAGAGCTTGAAGGATTTTAAGAACTTGTTTGTCAACTTTAGGGTTGAAACAGAAACTATCGCCTTCAGCTTCAACTTCCCTGGCGTATTGCAGGGAGAGAAGGTTACGGACTCCTTGATCAGATAAAGAAAAGCGTAAAAAGATAATATGGTTTTCAAAACTGATAAGTTGTTTATGATAAGTTATAAAGGAGTAACTTATCAAAAAACTATTTATTACCGGTTTGATACCGGTATAAACATTAATTTTCCCCCATCCAAACAATAAAAACTGCTTATTACCGGTATCACATCGGAATAAGTCATAAGCACTTTAAATAAGCAATCCCAAAAACACCTCTCAGTAAGCTTCTACGGGAGAGCTTTATGCAGAAAATCAAAATTTTTCTAAGCATATCATTCCTAATTAAAATACATGCTCCTTTTATTTATGAAAAAACTCCTCTAAACAAAAACCTTAATTTTCTATCTAAATCTAAAAAAAAAAAAAAACGTTATCCATCCATATAAAGACATTTTAGACCCAATTTCCCTAAAGTGTACTAAAGAATTGCCACCTCCCTTTTTTCTTTAATTGTTACGATGCAACCCATTCACAAACTGGGCCAAATGATTCGGCCTGTATTGCATGGGAAATTGGGCTTTAACTGTGCAAAATGGTTGGGCTGGTCTGCTTGCCTTGGCATTGTTTATTGTTTAATATCATAAATAATAAAAAGGAAAGATTATAGGACACGTAATTGACAATGTCAACACTTGTTAAAACGTGATTAAAAAACGTTCAAAAATTTCCAAAAAACCTATCGTAACATCTTTTAAATATGATGGTTTTTGGTTTTATCTTGTAAACTTAAATTCTATACAGTATTTTATTCGGGCGCTTAAACGTTTTAAACGTCCTATAAAATTAATTCTCTACTTAAATAAAAACAATCACATATATAACAACCAAAGTCTCCTTCAAGTCTCATCTAATGTGTCCCCACCTTATTATTTTTTTATATGGTCATATACTTGCCTCCTTCAAGTCTCATCCAATGTGTCCCCATCCTATTAATTTCCTGGATCTGTCTCTGTCTACCAACATAATTTAAATTAGCTACTTATATATGGACTTATCCAAAACAATTAATAGAAGTTAATTGTTGGATTAACTTGCAACGATCTTTGTTTATGATAACTCTACTATGCTAGGGTTAAAAGCACCATATTATTTGAACATTACACACTCAAAAGGAACAACATCTTGTATATTAGTTTTATGCACTTTGAGCTTCTAAAAAGGCATTGAAATCCTCCCGAGCCTTGCGTAAGCGAGGCGTGATGCAAGACGAAGGGGATGTCGGGGGATCAGACGTCGAAAAGCGAACACGACGACAACCCTCTTGTGATTTTCTTTCTGCTGATCCACCACCACCACCCGTCGTCTTAAGAACTCCTTTCACACTCTTGTTGAACACGAAGGCCGAGTTCATCGGCAAACTAGCATCATTCACGTTCGTCCGTATCAGCTCCAGCGGAAGATCAAAATAGAGAGCAGATGAATGCTGATCATCATCGCTTTGGATGGCCGACGACCTCCATGATCCACACTCAAATTTCTCAAGTGAAACCCTCTGTGAGATCACATTTCTGGTTCCTTCTGGTTCCACCCTTCTGGCTCTCACCGGTTTACCCTTACCAAAGCCCGGCAAGAACAAACAAAGAGCTCCACATTTAAACTCCGAATCCACATTGTTAGGTTTTATAGCTTCATTTGGCATGGTTCTTCGATGATCTTGACCATCAGTAACTGCAGTTGGCTTGGTGGAAGACCTACGTTCACATATAATAGCAGCCACGGAAGTATCAAAGGCGCTATAGGGTACAGATGATCTGTGTTCACCACCAGATTTGCTTCGTTGAAGGCGACTGTTGGTGGGAGATCGAGGTGGGGGTGTTGGGTTTTGAGTATGATCAGTAGGTCTGATCTTGGATGAAGCCATGCGAGGTGAACTCGGAAGGCTGGTGGTGCTAAGGAACTTGTATTTGGTGGGTAACGATGGCAATGGTTTAGCGGGACTTGACCATGATCGATGGGTGCTATGTATCATGGATATTGGATCTACAGAAACCTGCTTCTCTGCGTCTATGCTCTCATTCATGATCAACATACTGATGATGATCGAGGAATTGGATGATATATATATATATATATATATATATAATTGTTACAAGTGAAGAGTGATGAACTGATCGATGTGTGTGTGTCTATATATATATATATATATATATATATATATATATATATATATATATATATATATATATATATAAGGGCTGGGGAGTACAGATAGTAGTGATGGCCATGTCTTTCACTTGTCAACCATATACCACAAACAAGTCAACAGATTACTTGTTTGCACGTACAAAAATACGTTTAAGACTTATATATAAATTTATATTGGTTTCACGTATTAATATATGAATCTTTAAATGGTTCGGAATCTCGGTTCTAAATTTTGAATTATTTACATATAAATTAAGATTAAGAGTCACATGTGAACTATACAAGGTTTCAAAATAATGTGAGGCGTGGCGTGGCGGCGGGATCAAGCCTCAAGCCTCAATCCTTACGAGTTATGGCGAGGCCACGGCGTTTTTCAAGGCGTACATCAAGGCGGCAATATATATTTATATATACACACAATATTTTGGATAATAATGTAGAATATATCAAATTCATATGAAATAATAAAACTAACAAGAAAGAAGGAACTTTGATACCAAATATATAAAACTTATAAAAATGATATCAAACTGCAAAATCGGGATTAAATATCTCAAATCTCAACTCACTACTTTCTTCCATTTTCAAAGAATTTGTGTTTGACTTTTCGCGTATAGAAATGAAAGTAAGTATTTACCTATTTAGGATTTTAGTTGTTAAGTTTTCTTTTATGTTTATTTAAGCTTTTAGTCTACTACATAATTATCATTTAATTTACCCCTCTAGCTATTTATTAGAAAGACCTAACACCTAAAAAAGAACGCGTTGGAATGCGTAATAACACGTCATAGCGTGGCATAATGTTGGTCCCAAAAGGGTCTACAAGAATACTAAACAGGTTGTAGAAGGGGGGGGATGAATACAAACACAATTTTCAAATTTAAAATATATATTGAT